AGGTGAAATACCTACAAATTGAAAATGAATAATTCTAATTTGCGGCTGCAATCTCTTCAATTTGACAAGAACATTGCAACGAAGTGGCCAAAATGGAAACAGGCCTTCATTCTCTATTTAAAGGCTATAGAGAAGTATAAATCAACAGATGAGGAATTGAAAATAGCTCTTCTATTAACACAAATAGGTGAGGAAGCCATAGAAATACATTCTACATTCCAAGGTAAGAAAGATACTTTAGAAGCTGTTTTAAAATTATTTGATGAGTATTGTATTCCTAAAGTAAATTTGGCAATGGAGTCCTTTAAATTCAATAAGATAAAACATTCCCCAGGACAAACATTTGATAATTATTTAACTGAGCTAAAAAGTCAAGCACTCAACTGCAAGTTCGTGTGCTCTAAAGCCGATTGTAAAACTTCATTCGCGGAGAGAATGCTAATTGACCATATAGTGCGTAACCATAATGACCCAGAAGTTCAAAAAGTATTGATTAAGGAGACCAAAACGCTAACATTGCAGGAGGTGACGCAAATTTGTCGAGCAGCAGAAATAAGTCAATCTTATAGCAAGGAAATGGTTGGAGAAGGCACGCTAGGTGATGTTAATGTTAACTATACCAATATGGCTAATAAAAACAAACCTTTTACATCCAGACGTACTAAGACTGATAAAGAGACTGAATATAAATGTAAAAAATGCCGTACCACTCACGGACCAAGAGATTGCTCAGCATTTGGTAAAAAATGTTTTTTATGTGGGAGGTTAGGTCATTTTAAAATCGGGTGCATCTCACGAAAAAAGAGAACTGCAGTGAATGAGGTTGAAGAAGACTCATCGTCCGAGTCAATGTTTGATTGTAACGTTATTACTGATGTGAATGCTATTAAGTCAGATCTATGGAAGGAATATATTTATATTAATAATGTACCCGTACTTTTTAAGCTGGATACGGCTAGTGATATTAATATTTTGCCCAGTAAAATTTGGAATAAAATAGAACTTGATGGTAAATTGACTAAAACTTCAATGAAGGTTAAGTCATTTGGAGGCTTTATCTCTAAACCTTTGGGGAAAACTATTTTAGAGGCTAATTATAAAAAGAAGAATTGTGACATTGAATTTGTAGTAATGAATTGTGACTCATCTCCTATACTTGGTGCAGTAACGTGTGAAAAATTGGGGCTAATTAAACGAGCTTATACTTTATCTAAAGTTGATGTATTGACTATTAAAAATTTAGAAGATGGAAAACCAGAATTTATTCAAAATAACAAGGATGTTTTTACTGGTCTGGGTAAAATTCCCTATGAAGTTAAGATTACGCTTAGCAATGATGCGGTACCTACTGTGAGGCCAGCGAGGAGACTTCCAGCCTCTCTCAAATCTAAACTTAAAAAAGAAATCAATAGGTTAGTGGACTTAGGAGTAATAACACCAGTAGAAGAGCCTACAGATTGGGTTCATGACATAGTGGTAGTTGAAAAGAAAGATGGATCTATTCGGCTGTGTTTGAATCCCATTCCATTGAATAAATACATAAAAAGGAAAACATTATAGCATACCTACTCAAGAAGAACTAACTGCTAACCTTAGTGGGAAAAAATGGTTTACTGTGCTCGATATGCAGGAAGGGTTCCATCAGTTTCCTCTAGATGAGAATTCGAGTCGTTTATGCACTATGAATACCCCATTTGGTCGATATCGATTTCTAAGAGTGCCCTACGGTTTGTCTAATATTCCGGAGATATTTCAAAGGGAAAATACAAAAATATTTGGAGACATAGAGGGAGTGCAAATAATGTTCGATGACATAATAGTTTCGGGCCGAACAGAAATTGAACATGCTAAAAGTTTGGAAGAGGTTATAAAAAGGGCCAGACAGTCCAACATTAAATTTAATAGCAAGAAACTCCAGTTTAAATTAAATGAAGTTAAATATTTGGGACTAGTATTTGGAGCAGATGGAATCAAACCGGATCCTCTCAAGGTAAGAGCCATTTCTAATATTAAAGAACCTCAGTCTCCGAAGGAAATTCAAAGATTTTTAGGTGCAATAAATTTTTTGAACAAATTTATTCCAGCCTATTCACAAGTCACCGCCCCTCTTAGGGAATTATTGAAAAAGAGTGCTCAGTGGCAATGGTCTGATTCACAGTAGCAAGCTTTCTCTATTATAAAATCTTTAGTTTGTAATGCGCCCACTCTCAAACTGTTTGATCCGTCACTTAAAATTGAGATCCAATGTGATGCCAGTAAGGATGGGCTTGGAAGCTGTTTACTCCAAAACGGGAAACCAGTCGTATTTGCATCAAGAAGTCTTAATGACTCAGAAAAGAATTACAGTCAGATAGAGAAGGAGATGCTTAGCTTATGCTTCTCGGTCAATAGATTTCACCACTTTATTTACGGTCATAATAATGTTGAGATTTTCACGGATCATAAACCGTTGTTAGCAGTGCTCAATAAGGAGCTGTATAAAAATTCTTCAAGACTCCAAAGAATGCAACTGAAGCTATTAAAATATAAATTTTTATTATCCTATATACCAAGCTCAAAAATGTATATAGCGGACATGCTATCAAGAGCCTTTCTTGAAGAAGAGGGACCGGAAGACGTAGACTTTTCTCAGGTGGTTCATGCCATTACGCTAGAAGAATTGTTGCCGGTGCCATCAGAGGATATAAAAATCTTGCAAGAAGCCACCAGGGATGATTTCAGTGAACTTAGAAATTGTATCAGGAATGCTTGGGAAGGAGTTCATAAAAAGTGTTTGGAACGTGAAATAAAGGTTTTTTATGGGCTCCGAGACGAACTTTCAGAAAATAAAGGAATTTTATTTTATAATGATAGAATTATTATACCACCGAGTCTCCGACGTCACTTCGTAAGCCAAATTCATTCTAAAGCTCATCTTGGAATAAACAAAACCGTTTCCCGTATTAAGAGTCTTATGTATTGGCCAAACATGTCCGAATACATTACAAACTTCATAAATTCATGTTCAACGTGTCAAACCTTCCAAAACAATAAACCTAAAGAACCTCTTATAACATCTGAAATTCCTAAATTTCCGTTTCAAGTTATTGGTATGGACATAGGCGAGTGTAATTCGAAAATTTTTCTGGCTGTAGAAGATTACTACTCAAGATGGTTGGATATTATACCGCTCAAGAATAAAAAATCCACTGAAATTATCAAAAAACTAGAAATTCTTTTTAGTAATCATGGCACGCCTGAAATTGTACGTTGTGATAACAACCCGTTCAGTAGTGCAGAAATGGCAGCTTTTGTCAAACATTGGGGATTTAAAATTTGTACATCTAGTCCTCACTACCCTAGATCTAATGGTCTCTCGGAGAAAGGGATAGGTGTCGCGAAGAAAATGATAAAGAAAGTCTCTTATTCAGGAGGAGACATTTATGAAGCCATTCTAGAATACCGAACAACTCTCCTTTTTGGGCTCGAGTATTCTCCAAGCCAACTGTTGATGGGTCGAAGACTGCGAACCAGAGCGCCAGCAAGCATTGATCTTCTTATTCCCAAAATACCAGACGATGATGTGTGCCAAAGAATGGAGCTTCTAAAATTCAAAAGTAAAAAATATTATGACTCAACTTCTCGTCAATCAGAGGAGTTCAAGATGGGACAACTAGTTTATGTTAAATGGAAGGATCGATGGAAAGAAGGATCTATTACAAAGGTTCTCCCTGAACCAAGATCATACTTGGTCAGAGACCAATATGACAACGAATATTGAAGAAACTCATCCCACTTAAGACGCCTCACCACACCTAACACTGATCCTCTACTCAACCCAACTGATTCTGATTCTGATCCTCTACTCCAACCCTCTAATGCTTTATTTCAGGAGGAACAGAGACAGTCTCCGCGTCACCCGCAGAATGGTTCTTCCCTGTTGTTACCAGGACTGTCAATTTCCAATGATCAAGCTCAGCAAGCATCTCCAATTAGTGAAGGTATGCGCACCAGATCGGGCCGCCTGGTAAAGCCACCGAAAAGACTTTGTGAGGATTAAGGGAAGAGTGTAGTATAAGACTGTATACTATTTATAAATTATAATATAATCGATTACACATGTTAATTAGATAAAGACAAGACAGATGGTATATTTTGTAATAAATAATAAAGCACTCCTACGTTTGTTCTAAAGGTATTTTTATTAATTAATTATACATATTACATTAAGAACATATATAAATAAAGTAGATTATGGATCTAGTTCCCTTTCGCAATTCAATACGGAGGTCAGTTTCAGATCATTCAGTGCACGCTATTCCCATATTCTCGAAAACACCAGAAAGTGTCACAAAAAAAAAGGCAGAGCCTCCCGATCATCAATTTTTTATTGTAAATTACCGGCCATTTTAAGAAGAAAACTTTTTTCTTGAATTATAATAGTGGATAATATCCATTGTTGAAATATTGAAATAAATATAATTAGTAGGATTCCTTACTAATCTTACAATAGAATTATTAACTACGAATAACATGAATTACAACGATATGAATTTTTGCAAAGACAAAATATTTTCTCTATACCATATTATCATATTTATGCATACTTTTCCAATACATATTTCATTGGCATTCGTATTTTCTCCGTTCTACGTTTTCCCATATCTATTAGTGGGGAGGGGGGATTTCAATTTAATTATAATAGGCCTATTTTAATTATGTATTTTTTCTATATATATTTTCTCCATACCTATCAGTGGAGGCGGAGGGGGAAGAGTCGAAGGTTTCAATTTAATTTTAATTACATATTTTAGCATATTTCAGCAAATCATCTATATTAGTCCTTGGTGGAGGCCTTTTTTTATGAAATTATTAACATCTGTCTAAAACTTTGTGAGTGGCTTCATTTTATCGTAACATACACATATTGTATCTACGAAAATTCAAATACTGACTTAATGTATTAATTAATGCAAGTAGCCATACTGGTTACTGAGGCATCCATACCACAATTACTTGGTGTCAAAAGGAAAGTATCGATACTATGCTTATGTCGTTCAGTGTCAATCCTATTTACAACCTCCCCACTTTTTAAAGTATTGTTTGTTTATCTTAGTCTATAGGTCAAGGAGTGTTACCATTTTATCATTGTACGTAGTTGATAGTACTGGAATTTTCAATTGTCTTTTTTTTCTTCTTTTTTTTTTCAAATCTTTGTTTTATAACTTAATTCATTGTTGTTCATTTTAGAAATTTATTTTAAATACTACAATGGGAAATAGATCTTCATTGCTACTTCGTGAAGAAGAAATTGCACAAATTCAAAGTGAAACAGGATGTAAGTAAATAAGGTTTCCTTAACGTATGAAAGTAGAGTTTTTTTTACATATATGATTGATCTTCAGGTGTACTCAATGTTATTATTTTAGGCCATTTAATCTCTCAATTAGACTGTATAATCATTGTTGTTAGTTATTGCTTCTTATTTGAATAGATTACTTTTCAGTACCCTTCATTGTTTGTCATCATCTACTAAATAATCATTAGTAATGGTGCACAGTTTTAAGAAAATATATTTTTAATACTACACTGTTGGAAATTTATGGAAGGAAAATAAACATTAGTAACTACCATATAAAGCTTAATGTTAGAACTCGCACATGATAAAACATATTATAAGACATATCTTAAGGTTAAATCGGTACAAATTGATTATAACCAAAATTTTACAAATATTGATCTAAGTTTTCACTTCCTCTGATAACGAAATTCTCTGTCTGTTTCATAAATATATTCACAATTCTAAAATGTTGTTTTTATCTTTATATGGTGAACTTCTAAACCCCCTTCTGCCTCCAATACAAATAACATTCTGAGTGTTGAAAATCTAAGAACGGATGCAAAAGTTTCGTTATAATCTTCACCAATTTTTTTTTTAACAACCCTTGGCAAGTAATCTGTTTTATATTTTTTTTTCTGTCCATTATGGTCAGTTTTTTTATTAAATACATAGTTAACTATATTACCTTTTTATCTTCTGATAATTCCACCAAGTCCCATGTATTATTTTCCATTAGTGAATCGCATTCATTTTTTATGCACTAATCCAATCATTTTTCCTTTGGAGGTGTTAAAAGCATCAATAGGTAGCCAATATTGATTAATTTATGTGATACAAACATTTTCTCATTTTCATAGATTTCCTTGTTATCTTATAGAAGATTTACCAGAAGCTGCGCCCTTATAAGAAATAATCTTCTTCCTTCCCCTTTATATATATCTTATCTTCATATATATTTTCTAATTTCATATTTTATGAGGAAAGATTTAACGCTTCCTAGATACACATTTACTGAAATTAACAAACCATCGGTTTTTTTTTACACTTTTCTATCTTATCGGTCCATAATAACCTGTTGGAAATTTAATGTTTATGAAAGGAAAATAAACGTTAGTAAATTCCATGGAACATTTAATGTTCGAACTCACTCAACCCAAAGAACAAGGTACAATACTCAGAGGCTATATTCTAAATGGTTACATCTGTACAAATCTATTATAACCAAAGATCTTACAAATATTCATATAATTAAATTGATAATTTCTAATATATTTACTCTTCGTTTGTCCTTCAGTTCTCATTTTACAATGAATAGGAAGCCATGTTGATAACATCAAGGGTTGGTTGGTATTTATAATTAATATTCATATCTGCTTCAATATTTTATTTATTTAAAATACTTACTAACATTTTGGGAAGCACTCCCTGTCTTCAGAATTTTACTTCTATAATCATGTACAAAGTCCTTAATAATGTTAATGACATAGTTCTTGTTTACAATATTTATTTAAATATAATAATACTAAAAATAAATACCTTATCCTTTATCAAAGAAAAATATCTTTAATTGATTACAATTATCTTTCTTTTTTATAAGCCTTAAATGCCTACTAGCCTGAACTAGTCAGTCTTGGTCCTGTTACCAGAGCAAATACATATACTTCAGTCCCATTGTTATTAGCTACCACTATCCTTTTACTATTATTTGTTATCTACCTCTTTTCTATTTAAATTATTTATTTTTATGAGATCATTTGAAACAAAAATAAACTGGTTTTTGAAACTGCAACTGGTTTTTATCAGTTGTTTTTTATTCTATTTATTTTTAAATTTTATTGCAATGGCACTACGATCCTGTAGTTCCTTTCTCCTTCTTCTGGTGGTTAATAATAAATGTTTAATATTATTAATGGTTAATGGTTAATAATAAAAATATAGTGATAACTATTTAGTCAGCAAATTATTTGCATTCTACTAAGAGAAATGTTACCCACCTCCCTCCTCTGACCATGTTTACCTACCTTTTGCTATCTGAAAAAGCACATCTGGGCAATCCTCCCCCCGACCCTTTGACTTACCTAACAAAGAATCAGTACTTGAATACCTTCAGTGCTCGAAACACGGTTAGTAAGAGAAAATATTACATGTTTTACAAATTGATCATATACATTATTTTTAGTTTGTATAACGTTTTACGTATTTAATTTGTCTATTTCATATATCATCAATCACTATATTTTTATTACTAACCATTATCTGTTGTATAATACTATATCTCTCCTGGTATTAAACATGTTCAGCCCTGATGATGATCCACATGTTTGGGTTGAAACGTCGGCACTAATGAAAACTTTATAATGACTGTGTCCTGAATATTTATCACCCACTTCTCTTATTTTGTTTTTGAAGATTTCTGCTACTTCACTTTTGTGTAGTTTTTCTGTGTTGTAGGCCTGTGCTCTACCCTCTGTAGTGCTACACTTTCTTATGGCTAGCTTTTGTTCATAATAGACTTTTACCATATGATGGTCAGTATCACAGTCCGCTCCTCTAAATACCCTAATATTTATTTATCTTGATATCCCATGCATGTCGAGTTTCTATGAGAACATATGTCTATTTGATTTCAGGTCAGGCGGTTTGGTGAGACCCAAATCTCTTTGTGTGGGAATTTAGTACTGCTGATGACCAATCCCTTCTCCATTGTGAAGTTAATTATACAATGTCTATTATCATTAGAGTAGTCATGTTTGCTTTCTTTGCCTATAGTGGGTCTAAATGCCTCATCTTGACCTATCTTGGCATTTAGATGATTATTTTCACATCATTCTTCAGATTTCTTTCATATTCTCTTTCTATTGTCATAAAAAATATCTTAATCTTTCCTATGGGTGCATATACACACTTGATCATTATTTTGAAAAATATTTCTATAAGTAGTACTGTGCAGATTCTTTTATTGATCAGTTTATACACTATTATAGTGTGCTTAATCCTTTAACTGCTAATGACGGCTATAGCTGACATGCTCCACTTCTGCCTTCAATGCTAATTTTGGCTATAGCTGTCCCACTGGTTTTCTTTCCATTTTCTAATGTCGAGTATAGCCAGTGCAACCTTGCTAAATCATTGCAAGTTAACCCACCAAACTAACCCTCCTCCTTTATCTGGGGTTTGGGACCGGCAACTGTCTCTGAACGAGCCAGAAGGCGGAGTTTATATATTATATCATCATAGGCAATGTGTTTTTCAATTTATAGTGACGGTTTTATCTGTATTTTGTGTTATATGAACTGATTCAATTAATCTTCTATTTTTGTCGCTGCCTCACTGTCCAATATTTTTGGTTTATCAAAATCAGATTTCTAATTCCATATTATTAAATAGTGTGGCATTGCTGTGCTGTTGGTATTTTTTATGTTTTTACAATTTTATCTATGTTGTTTAATTCTGGTTTTTAACTTATTGCATTACAATCACAGCAATATATTCAATATATTATATTTTGCTTATCCAAAGTATGTATTTTGTTTTTCATGTTATTAGTTATGTGATTTAAAAGTTTATTTTTATTCTAAAGCCCAAATTTTAAATTGTGATATATTTTTCTGAAACTAATCCCTGTAGTGGCTAACCCCTCTCGCATTAACCACCCTACTTTAAAATAGTTTTAAATGATAACTTTGGGCTTAAATTTATTGGTTTTCATTTGTATTGCAAAAACAGAAATAAATTTGGAGGTTTAATTTTATTTAATTATTAGAAGCCTGTTTTCCTGGCATTGTAATTTGATGAATAAGACTAGAATATGTCTGTATTATAAAGCGATGGTTTCTTATCATATTTTGAATAGAAAATGTCAGTCTCACGATAGAAAGAATATGAAACTTTATTTTAAGAATCTAAGGTGTATCTCTAATATTAAATTTGTTACTTACTACTAGTACGAGCATTTCAGTAATAAATATCTTATATTTTAAATGAAATTACAACAAATATTGATTTATAATTAGGTTATTAGTAAATTATCACTGTAAATAACAAAAACATATTCATTTTTTAATGTTTGGAATTGAATATTTAGTTAGTTGAGTAGTTTAGTTGTTTTCATAATTTTAATTTATTTAATGTTTGTTGGATTTAGGTATGTCTGAATCCCTTAAAGAAATTTGTAATCATAAAAAATGATTTGCTGTAGTTTTGATCACATTTTAAACAATTTTTTATTTAATTTTGTCAAAAATCTTCTTTGATATGATAACATAATCTATTGCCTTTAATTTACTTACTTATTATCTTATTCTTCATATTTCACTACTTTTTATCCACTTTTTATACTCTTTATTGTTAACATCATGAAGTTCATTTGCAGTATGAACTCTAGAGAGCTGAATGTATCTGTGAACACTGTTGAAATATTGAAATTCATTGGGTTTTTTTTTTTTTCAGTAATTTGATTTAACATTCCATATATCAATATTTCTTTTTTTTATTTTCTGTTTATTTTTTATTTTATTTCAGAAAAATGGTAAAATATTGCTATTTATTGTTATTTTGCTAAAAAAGAAAGTTCAGCCCTATCAACTGAAGCCCTGATCGGATGGTATGGTACTGTTTTGCATACAGTTTTTTTTTGTCTATTTACTAGCGGTCTCCAACTCCAGATCTAAAAACCTCCCAAAACCATTAAGAAGCCACCTCCATGTTTTGTTGTTGGTTGCAAACATTTATCTGAAAATTTCCCTCTAGATCTCTAACATACTGTCTCCTTCTGAAAAAAAACAATTCATTTTTTACTCATCTCTCAATAAAAATTTGTTCCATTCCGTTCACCTTCCATCCAATTTCCGTGTTCTTTGGCAAACCTAAGTTGCTTTCCCTTCTATAGCAATATACCCTTTTTTCAAATTGTTGAAACTTGCAAAATATTCATAGAAATGCATTTTCTTTTACTTTCGGATTCGTGATCTCAGAGAGAATTTTTAACATAAGAAACAAGTAATAATTGGATGGAGAAAGGTTTGGGAGTACGGAGGATGAGGTAGTATGTTCCAATCAAACTGTAAGAGTTTCTGTCTTACTTATAATGCAACTTGCGGCATTAGCCATAAGACAGAAACTTACAGTTTGATTGGGACATACTACCTCTTCCTCCGTACTCCCCATACCTTGCCCTATCCAATTTTTACTTGTTTCTTTTATTTAAAAAAATCTTTTTAAGATAAATGTCACAAATTCAAAAGCGAAATAAAAATGCATCTTGATTAATATTTTGCAAGTAAGTCTCAACAATTTTTTTAAAAGGGCATAAGAGGCTTCCTGAGAGATGGAAGAAGATAATAGAGCAGATTGGTTCATATATAACACAGTATCAACCTTAAACAACAAATAAAGAAAAAGGAAGGACCTTATGGGATACCCTAATACATTATAAAAACATTGTACCAAAAACAACTTAATAAAATATACCAAATATAAAAATAACAGGAATAGATTTTATTATATCTATTTTAATCAAACCTTTTAAATTTTGTCTGGTATTTATGGAATAATGCATTAAATGGTGTTTATCAAGTTTTAGAAGCTTATTTTCATTGTTATGATAACTTAGTTGTCAGTTTATTTATTTTTTTAATGAAATTCCCAAGATGATACTCAGTTAAACATTTATGTTATTTTTTCCCAATGGCTTTATTAAATGTCAATTATTCTTGATAGTAGTTATAAAACATGAATGGATTTAATTAATTTATAAAACTAGGTTTTTCAGCAACTTCAGGTTTTTCCGTACAATAGAAAACATTTTTACTGTTTTTGATTTTTAAGTCATAAGGTATGAAAAAAATTGAAGCTTGAAAAGAAAGAAATCTCTGGTAAACATTTTTCATCAGATTATTAGTTTGAAATACTCTGCTTTTTAAAATAGTGTGTGGTCTTGAAAAGAGGTGACTGGTTTACTGATATGTACTGGAACAATTTGATTTTTAATCCTTAGAGGTTTTTCACAGTTAATCTGCTAATAATCATTAATTGTATAAAATGATTGCCCCAAATTTATACTTCAAAATTAATTAATTTTTCTGTTTATGTCATTATATTTTTTTTTTCAGTTTCTCCTAACCAAATTGAACGGCTTTATAGCAGATTTACGAGTCTTGATAGAGGCGATTGTGGAACACTCAGCAGAGATGACTTTCTCAGAATTCCAGAGCTTGCAATCAATCCTCTTGGGGAGCGGATAGTCCATGCTTTTTTTGATGAAAGTGGAAGTGATCGTGTAAATTTTCGCCAATTCATGCAAGTACTAGCGTGTTTCAGGCCAATCAAACAAATGACAGATAACCGCTTAAATTCCCGAGAACAAAAATTAAGATGTAAGTAATCAAGATACATTTTTTTCCATAAACCAAAACAGTTTATATGATGTGTAATTTTAATCATAATATTTCAGTTGCATTCAAAATGTATGACATTGATAGTGATGATTTCATTTCCCGAGATGAATTACTTGCTGTGTTACACATGATGGTAGGAGCAAACATAAGGTAACTAATTCTACTTTAATACTTTTTGAATATGACTGGATGTTGAGTTATTTCAGGTATTAAGCTCAATATTAGTTGCTAATGTGGAAAAGACTTTTAGTTATCTAACCTGTTTTGTTTTATTTTATCAATATTATTCTCTTGTGGTTAGTTACTATGCTAACCAAAAATGAGATGAAATCAAAAAATTAACCAGAAATACTCGTAGGATTCTAAATGTACAAGGTGTAAAATGTTTAGCTCTCAGAGACAAATTAAGAGAATCATTAACTGTTAATTAGATTTGTTTTCAAAACCTTGAGAGTTTAATTGCTAGGGAACAGTATTTTACACGGGCAGCATCTCTTTACTTTGAATAAATGGTGGGGTTACCAACCAGTACCTAAACCATATAGTTGAGACCAGACAATAGGAAGAGACGATGAATGCAGAGTTTGAGAACTGACAGCCTAGCTGGATGCAGTTATTGACATTAACCTCCCAAAGATTTCTGGAGGGAAATCAATAGGCAAACCAACATGTCGACATGTATATGAAAACATTAAACTGTCGTAACTCTAAGCCAATGGTAATGAGAATGAATGAAAATAATTTTATTATTCTGGGACTAGTGTCCCTTTAGAACAAGTTACAAATACAGAATATATATTAATATTCTGGTGTGTCCAAAAAATACAATTTAATATTTACAGGATGGTTAGGATTGCAGTAAAATTATAGATAATAAAAAGATATAAAAACTTGTATAACTATAAAAGAAACAAAGAAAGTAAATTAAGTAACCTAAATATCAATGAATCACAAAATAATCAGATTATCGGGGTGTACTTTGAGATTCTTACAGCTTAGGTTTTTAAGTGCATTTCATGATCAATTGGATTGGGAATGGAGTAGGTGTTTGAAGAGAGATTTGAAAGAGGATATTGATTTTGTGTGTCGAATATCTGAGGGTATAAAGGTCCAGAGGGAGAAAACTTGAATTAAAAAGGATTTATCAAACGCAGCAGTTTGGTGAGGAGGAGGATAGAGGTCGGGCGCACGGGATCTGGTAAGACGGGATTGAAAGGAGTGTTTAAATTGTAGAATATAGTCGGGTCGGGTCGCCTTGTTCTAATGGCCTGGTATAGAAAGGTAGCAAGGAAATATTGGTGGCGGTAGGACGGATAAAGCCACTTCAACTTGGTGTAAAACTGGGTAATATGTGTATCCCTTGAGATCCTGAAGATAAAGCGGATTGAGCAATTCATTAGACGTTTAAGTTTAGTTTTTAGTTCTCCCGAGAGTCCACCATACACTATGCAGCCATAGTTGAAGTGGGAGAAAACAAGAGAGGAGAGCAGGAGTTGACGGGTTTTGAACGGAAGAAGATAACGTAGATGGTTAAACTGTTTCAGGGTGGATATAGTACGGCGGGAAATTTGGGAGATGTGTGGTTTCCAGGAGGGGGTTTGATGGAGGGTAATGCCAAGGTTTTTGACGGTGGTATGGAAGGAGATAGGTGAGTTGTTCAGAAGAAGATTAGGAGATGCTGAAATGGATTTGAGGAGTGGGACGGATCCGATCAGGGTGGCTTTTGTCTTCTCCGTATTTAATGTCAGCTTATAAAGATTCGCTCATGCGCATATTCTATTGATGTCTTGTTGCATTTTCAGGATGGCATTAGAGGAATCGTCAGGTTGAAGGAAAGATAAATTTGGACGTCATCGGCATATAGGTGATTTGCAGAGAGAACTTAATAAACATACTTCACTGATGTTTATGTGTGTATCTTTTCTAATACAAATGGCCAGGGAGACAGACTTCTTAATATGAATAAGAATATACTATAATCCAACCAGCTTAAAAAAAAAAAATAATAAAATAATCAATTTAGTTATGTATGTGTGAACTCTTTAAAGCTCAGGGCCTTAAGTAAAAATCTTGTGAATAATGTTTAGTGACCTTCCTGATAAGCCACCATGAGGAGTGCTGTAGGTTCACCCAAAACCAGAGTCAATTTATGGAATGGATGGTGGTTTATCTGATAAATCACATTCTTAAAATTTATTTTTAACAAAGCAGTCAGCGAAGTAACATTGAAAACCATAAGATTCAGTTTACGTTGGTATCTCCTAAACATAATTAAAAAATAAAAATAAAATAGATTTTAGAGATATGTTCTGAAAACTGATTTTTTTTTTAGTTTTTGAGGATATCTTAAAAAACTCTGAGGTTTGTGGCAAATCTTTTCCTATGCATAATTAAATTACATCAAGATATCTATAAAAATTATTCAAATATGGAATGATATTTAAAATGGAAATCATTTCCAAGATCTACAGCTCTGAAAACATAAAAAATACAAAAAACTCAAATAAGTCAAAACATAGTGGCATAATCTCAAAGTGGAGATTATTTTCAAAAACTATGGCTCTGAAAACATATAAATTGGCCCTGATATCGAAGAAATAAAAAAATCTTATATTAGCCAAAACACAGTGGCATAATCTCAAAATGGACACCATTTTCAAAGACTGTGGCTCCAGAAAAATGTAAATCGGCTCCGATATGAAAGAAATCCGAAAAACTCAAATAAAAGAAAAAAATTTTAGTAATAATATTATTTTAATGTTTGCTAATGGTTTGTTTTGTTGTTTTTTAAAAAAGAATAACAATTTTCGAAAATGGTTCTTGGAGCAGAAACGTTAAACAATAATAATTTTTAAATAATGTTTTAAAATTGTAAGTATGGACTGTGAGATTAAAGAAGGGTTTTAAAAAAATAATCTTATATAGATTGAATATAATATTATTTCTAGAGTCCATAGTATATTTATTCGTTCGGGTTTAAAACAGGGGGATTCCCTTTCGCCTGACCTGTTCAATCTGGCATTAGAACATGTCATTAGGGAGGTAATGCGTACCGAGAAAGGGTTGGATCTGGGTAGGACAACATCCGTGCTAGGCTATGCTGATGATCTGGTACTGTTAAGCAAAGGCGTGGAAACTATAAAACTAAATACGACAACGTTAATGAAAGCCGGTAAAGAACTAGGACTCGAAATAAACGTGGATAAAACAAAATATATGGTTAGCTGCAAAAATGGCGATACTACTGGTGATATCGATATAGATGGTAATATGTTTGAACAGGTAGATAAATTTAGGTATCTAGGTTCTACTATAACTAGAAAAAACGAAATTGAAGAAGAGATTAAGGTTAGACTGAAGGCGGGAAATGCTTGTTATTTTTCTGTGACAAAACTACTTAGTTCGCGGCTCTTGTCCTGGAACTAAAAATTAGAATCTATAAAACAATTATCTTGCCTGCAGTTCTTTATAGATGCAGAACTTGGCCGCTTACATTAAGGGATGAGCAGCGTCTTAAGGTTTTTGAAAATAAAGTATTGCGTAGAATATTCGGACCGAAGAAGGATGAGTTAACCGGAGAGTTCAGACGGTTACACAACGCCGAATTGCGTGAACTGTATCCGGGTAATATAATTAAGGTAATTTCATCGCTGCGAATCAAATGGACTTGTAAAGTTGTTGGACTTAGTAACGAGAGAATTCCTAAAAAGTTAATATTTGCTGTGCCGAATGGTAAGCGTCCAAGGGGTAGACCGAAGCGAAGGTGGGAAGATTGCATTAAAGCCGATCTGAAGGGATTGGGTTTGGACGGCGAACGGTGGAGGGAGGTGTGTAATAAGCGATTGGTGGTGTCGGCATCGAACCTTCGGGTTCGCTAAGCCTTTTATTATTATTATTATTATTATTATAGTATACTTACTTTCTTTTTCAGTGAAGAACAGCTAACATCAATCGCCGAACGTACTATTCTTGAGGCCGATCAAAATGGTGACCAAATGATTTCATTTGAAGAATTTTGTAAAGCATTGGAGAGAACAGACGTTGAGCAAAAAATGTCTATTAGGTTCTTGAATTAATAAAATTATTTTTATAATATTTTATGCTCCTGGTATTCTTTATATAATAAATTTAAAAATTGTACTGTAATTAATAAAATAAAATTTTTCCAAAACTTTCATTCATCCATGATTATCATTAGGCTGAAGATAATTTTAACCGTAGAACAAATTGTTGGTAAAGTTGGTTAGGGGTTGCAGTCATTAATAAAATAACACACAAATAAGAAACTTTATTTTATAGTGAGCTAACGTTTCAGTCTTAATATATATGCACTTACAAGGTGACAGTCAGTGGATCACCGATTTAAACCAAATATTTTTCAGTGATATTACATCAAAAAATATTGAACACATGTCCTGATGTTTCTTTCAATGGGCCCCAAGAGGCGAGAAAAAAAATATTTTTTTTACTACAGGGTAGCTCCAGCGATTCACCCGAAAATTATGTGGAATTATGAGGGTTCTATACGCTATACCAAATGTTACAAAACCGACCTCAATAAACAAATTAGAATCATAAATTTAAAATAAAAATGTTTAAGAACTTTTTCTTAATTTCTAGCTTAAAAAGAAATGAAATCTTAAAGTTATTCTGGTGGGTTGGAAGAGCTGAAATTCAGCTTTCTAACAGTTGTATTAATATTGAATTTGGAGAAAAGTTATGAATGCTTTAATAATTGGTTTGAAAAAAAAATCCTTCAAGAAAATTTAGCACTAAAAACAAATTTAACTTGTTTTTTTATGACTAAAATTTACTTGGGCTACTTTACTGGGACTTCCATTTGTAATTTATGATTCATTATAACTTATTTAATGCCTTAGTCAATATTTTTTTCTTATTTTCCAAAAAAAAAATAATTTGATTGGTATAAAATAATAACAAATCCGGGCAATGCAAAAATAAAAATAAAAAATATAAATTTTGTTTGAAATTATTTTTTTAAAACAGTTTCTTGGCTCTTAGGACCCATTGAAACGAATTCTGGGACATATTTTCATTATTTTTCAATGTAGTATCCCTGAAAAAAAATTTGGTTGAAATCGGTGACCCACTGATTGTGAAGTCCTCTTGTTAGTAACATGGATATTTAGTTATAAGAAAAAGTATGTACTTAGTCCAGATGAAGGACTAAAACTTAAACTGAAACCTTGGCACGGAATAAAATAAGGTATCTTATTTATACTATTTCATCGATGAGCACGCTCCTTCTTTATCCCTCCCCTGCAAACCAACTTCTACAATATGATTACCATTGTGTCTTAGTACAGAATCCAGTGTATAATAATTGCAATAAGTTACTACTCAACAATTATTTTCCTATAATTTATTTGTTTAGAGTTTATTTGGTACCAAGTAGATGATTGTTATATTTGTTATAATCTATTTTTTTTAGTTCTTTACATAAAATATATTAAGTATGTTAATAAAAGTGACAAAATAAAAATCTACTATTTTTATTTTATTAATGTTTTTTTCCTTCTCTCTAAATAACTGTTTAGAAGCTGTGTATTATGATTTTTTTAAGTACTTTTATTTTTAACATTAGGTTATAAATAGAAATGTATAATATCAGAAGTTTAGCAAGCATCTGACTGTTTTTGGGATAGGAATTGGAATAGGAGGGTTTTGAATGTGGATATGGAGGGGGAATGCCGAATTTTGAAAGGTAAGGAATTCCAGAAATTGACAGCGCGAGCTATAAAGGAGTTATGAAATGCGGCAGATCTGTGAGAAGGGATATAGAGGTCAGAAGGTCGAGATCTTGTTGAAAGGGAATGGATTGAGGACTTTAATTGGAGAAGGTTGTAGGCGTAAGAAGGACGATGGTTGTTGATGATTTAATAAAGCAACACCACCTTAACTCAGTGTAGTGGTGAGAGACATGGGAGTACCTCGGGGCACCAATAACAAATCTTAGGCAGCTATTCATTAATATTTTTAGTCTATCACGGAGCTCCACCGAGAGGCCATCATACACCACACGGCTGTAGTCAAAGTGGGGGAAGATTAGAGAGGAAATTAGGAGTTACGGGTATGTTGAGGTAGGAGATGGCGGAAGCGATGAAATAGTTCAAGGGTAGAAATTGTCCGACGGGAAATTTGAGAAATATGGTTGTTCCAGGAGAGGGTTTGATCTATGAAAAATCCTAAATTTTTAACTGACTAGTAGAAGGAAATTGGCTGGTCATTATATATATATATATAAAACTTTGACTAAGTTCTCGCTATATTTTTGTGAAAATTAATGTTTCCTATCACTACTTTCTGGCAGCATACGAATTCCAATTCGTAAAAACGACTCGTTTTTTGAGAATCTACCCATTTATTATGTATATTCATAACAATGGACGTATATTAGGAAGACCATGTGCCATCGAACGAAATAAGTGATAATCGGAAGGGACTATATCCCTTGAATAGACGGATGGATGGGGCAGGACTTCCCATTTAAGTGTTTCCAGATAGTTATGCGACATATAGCCAAGCATTGTCAAGTAATAAAATCACCTTGTGTTTCTGCTCATATAGCGGCCGTTTCCTTTTGGGTTCCACTCAAATATATTAATTGTAGTCAATGGTCAATAGTCAATATGATCTCTGGTGATATTTTCGTTCGGTTTGAGCTGCTCACTATAAGTTACACTGTTAGTCCAGGCAATGAATACTCGAAAATGAGATGTAGAAGGAAATGGCGGGAACACAACTTTATATTGTTGTACATTGTTTGGACTAGTAAGGAAGTAAACATGCTAAAATTGCCCACTCCTAGGTGGTGAGCTAGATGTGGAGGGAAGGGCGTCTAGAAGGTCACTTTTTCGTGTTTTTGTTTATATCAGGAAAACTATCCATCGCATCGATAAAGACATTCTGTATTAAATTAAATCTTCTAAAATGTGTACAATAAATCGATATTCGACCTCGTAATCTTAAAAACGATAGGGCCAATACCGATCAAAGCCAATTTTGTGTTGTTTTTTTAAAGGTAATCACGATTTTTATTGAATAAGAAGGATTTGCTCAAAATTGTTCAAGATAATTAAATTCTAAGTACGCCACCGTAAAGTACACACAATTGTCTTTCAGAAACAATTGAGTAAATTTATTAAGGTCAATGATAAAAGGGACTTCAGGAGGTCTAAACAATAGGCTAATTTTCTGTAGGAAATTCAAGTTTTGTGTCTTTTAAAGTAAGCTAGGTTTTATCGTTTAATAGGGAGTAGCAAGTGTCATGGCCGCAAGTGCAGTTGAAGATTCACGTCGCTCTGTATTTGTTACTATGTAATGGGTTACTATTTAAAATTCTGGTGTAAGACTATATCAACAGTGACTATATAAACAGTGGTACATTTTATGTCACATATGTTCAGGTTAGTAACTATTGATTAACAATGAAGCAGTAATAAATTAGTGCTCGTTCGGCAAGCCCAACTGGCCCGTAATCCCTTACGGGTTTACCTTATCTGTAATAAGTTACGGTCAAGACTCGGCTCTGTGTATACTAACATTCTTCGGCTTTGTTCACAGTTCGAATCCAAGACATTTAGGTTTTTTTTTTTTTTTTTTTCTTTTTTTTTTTTTTTTTTTTTTCTCTTTATATTTTTAATATTTTTCAGGAGACTTTTATTTTATTTACTCATTAATTAATTCTGAAATGAATTATTTTATATTATATCTGTATATAGTTTGTAAATAGTTTAGTTCTTAAGAAGCTATCTTATAATTTTCATTTTAATATTTAGGTTTAAAAAACATTTTTTTTTCTCTCTTTCTCTCACACTCATTTATCCATCATGGATAAATCCATGGATTTGGATAAGAACACTTCTTGTGAAGACTCGGAGAACGAGACACCCTTTTCAGAAATTAGCGAGACTGACTCGCAATACTTGAAAAGACGTACGCTCCAAAAGCGTGTCCGAAACTCCGCTCCCGGTTCGGGAAGCAACTCACCAAATAAGAAAAAAACAAAAAATAAATCAAACAAATCAAATAAGCCAGCAGAACAAGAAAAATCTCCACCTAAAACGAGGAGTAAATCTAATGCCACACAATCAGAGCCAACTGCACCAAGCACCTCAGCCAGCAAGAATACTATTCTCGATAACAATTTATCAAGCAAGATTCCGAAGCCTCAAGATTTTTCTGACCCCGAACCGCCACCTGTTTTTGTTTCAAAAATTGAGAACTTCGTGTCGTTTGGTCAAGAAATTGCAAAACTAATCGGACAGCCAAATTTTCGCTGCTTCTCTCGAATCAATGACATTAAAATAAACACGAACTCTAGAGAAAACTATAAAAAATTGATTAGCCATTTAACTTCCAAAAACTACGACTTCCATTGTTACCAATTGAAACAGGACAAGGCGTTTCGAGTAGTCCTGAGAGGTCTACATTCAACCACTCCTATATCTGTCATCAAAACAGGCCTGGAAGAAATCGGTCATAACGTCAGGCACATAGCACCCGTACTACATCCTAGGGAAAGATATCCGCTTCCATTATTTTTTATAGATTTGGAACCAGCAAAAACGAATAATGAAATATTTCAGGTTCAACGTTTAGTATACTCGACAGTACGATTTGAAGAACCAAGACAGAAGCCCCTAATAGTACAATGCACTAAGTGTCAAAACTTCGGGCATACGAAGACATATTGCCATCACGAGGCCAGATGTGTTAAATGCGCCGGTTTTCACGCTTCAGACACTTGCCAGAGGCCAAAAGATGAGCCCGCTACATGTGCTCTTTGTGGTGAAGCCCACCCTGCAAGCTATAGAGGTTGTGAGGTGTATAAAAATCTTCACAAACAGAGATCACGCAACTTAGCGACGAAAACCCTTGGACCTGCTCAAAAAACTTGTCCTGAGCCACCTGAAATTGAAAATCAGGAAACATTCCCTGCTTTGCCGACTTCACCTTCCATCGCCGTCCAACAACAACCATCCATCTCTACACTTAAGGATTATCCTCAACAGAACTCAAGAAATTCTCAATGGCAGCCTTGCATCATTAAGAAGCAGCCTCAAAGTCAGGCGCCTCAAACCTCCCAATCCAAGCCCAAAAGCTCTAATACTCAACCTCAACAGCCTCGTCAGCCAATCCCTCCCCATCAGCTACCCTTAAGGGTCAAACTCCCGCCAGAGCACCCACACCCAGCTCCACTCGTTCCTACTCCCAAGATGAACCTCCCATCACAAGTCCAACAGAATTTAGATCCTACTCCTCGTACCCCACGTCGGACCCACCCTCCACCCAGCAATCCTATTCGCATAGATTACTCATCACAACCTCATGACCTAAATCCACTTCCCAGCCAAACATCATCCGACATCAACTCTATCCTATCATCATTCCTGATAGATCTTCAACAAACTATCAAACCGCTTATAACTCTTCTCACAAGACTCCTTTCCGAAATCCCGTTTAACTTCCGATGAATACAAAGCCCCTAGCTATCCTCTTATGGAACGCTAACGGACTACAAAACCACCGTGACGAACTAGACATATTTCTCCATGACAATTATATTGACATTGCTCTTCTGACAGAAACTCATTTCACTCAACGGACACAATTCTACATACGTGACTACATCACTTATAGATCTGACCATCCAGACAACACTTCCCACGCTGGCTCTTGCATCCTTATACATAAATCTCTATCGCATTCCCTTATCCCTTCTACTCCAACTGATGCCATTCAATCAACTTCTGTAATCCTTTCAACTCGTCCTTTCCATCTAACACTTTCAGCTGTATACTGTCCTCCTGGTAATTCCCTCTCTTATAGCCTACTTGATTCCTTATTTCAATCCCTCGGAGCGCGCTTTATTGCTGGAGGAGACTACAATGCTAAACACCAACGATGGGGTTGTCGAACATCCAACTCCCGCGGTAGCATCCTATCACGTGTCTCTTCTTCCAACAGTTATTCAATCCTCTCACCCATGAATCCTACATATTGGCCTACATCTCTGAAAAAACGTCCCGATATCCTGGATATATTTATCACCTCCCAGATTTCCTCCTCCCAATCCATTATCAAATCCCTGGATGACCTTTCGTCAGATCATAGTCCAGTTTTGCTTTTACTACATTCGAACTTTGCTCCTAAACCTAAACTTCCTAAACTAATTACAGGACGAGTGGACTGGGACAAATTTCGTCATGATCTGGAAGATAAACTGGACTTAAAAATTCCCCTCAAGACAAAACAACATATTGATAATGCCATAGAAAACCTTAATACAACTATAACAACGAGTATAAATAATAACACATTTGTTAATAATAAAAGCAATAATTTAAGACAAATTAACTTGCCACAGCATATTCGAATCTTATTAAGGGATAAACGCAGAGCAAGATCGAAGTGGCACAGGACTAGATATCCTTCAGACAAAACGTACTATACCGAATTGACTAACAAACTAAAATCAGAAATCAGAAAATATAAAAC